AGATCTATAAAAATTAGATGAAATTTATCAATGATTGAAAAAGTTTGTAAAATATGTACTTTACTCGACGATAATCTATGTACTCACCAGTGATGGCATAATCCTCACTCAAATGATTTTGTTTCGCTCTCAAGGGCTCCCAATATCACGCGAGATACTGGAATAAAATATCAAGCATGATATTGATTTAACAAGCTCCTTTGATATTGCGAGACAATTCAGAACATGTAAAATTGTAGCTACGAGTTGACTTACCACCAGTGTTGCCAGGTCATTTTCAGAAAAATCTGGACCAGTTAAAATATAAAATCTTGAAAAATCTGGAAGGCTCCAAAAAATCATGTTATTGAAATCAAAGTGATGTGCCAATCTTCCGTAAAAATCGGTTAATATGATCATCTGGAATGTATTCAAAGTAATTTTTGACATAATAGTAGGCAGTCGGCAATTTTATTTTAAAGTAAAATTCCCCAGGCTGAAGTGAGAATCAAAGTAGTGTAGGTAAACTGTGTGTGAGTACCACGATGTTAGTGGTACTAGCACACAGTTTACCTAAACTACAGGTAACTCAACTATTTGCATAATTTTATTATTCAACTAAAATGAACGTCTGAAAGCGGAATTTATATAGGTCCTGGGTCCCAGATCATGATTTTTTTTTGTTAGTCTGAATTTACTTTCTTTTTTTCAGAATTCCATTTGAATCATCCTAGAATTCCACCATACTTCTTTTCTGGATTCCCCTAAAATAATCTTGATAATATCCAAACTTTTTCAGTAACATTCTTAGAGTTCTTAGCATTATTTCTTGAAATCTCTTATAAATCACTCTCCAGTTTCACAATTCCCTCAAACTGGTAATAATTGGGTTCTTTAAGGGTATTGAGGTAAATGCATATTCGTAATCTTCATTTAAAATGGAACCCAAACCCAAAATTTCATCAATTTTGGTACACTGGAACTATTTTAAATAAGTACGATTACATTTGCAAAAATCACCTTATTAGCGCCCCTCGGTGTCACTTTGTATGGGAGCGAGCTGTCAGTTTGTCAGTTTAGTGTCAAACAGTGAAGTTATTATTTTGCTTTAAATCTTGATTTAAAAATCGAGATGAAAGTGTGTGGGCTCGAAAAAAATATCGCTTTGCTCAGAAAACGAAGCTCTTTCAGATGATATATAATAACCGATATATTTTTCAAAATTAAAGAACCCAATTGGTACTCTTTTGAATGACCGTCACACTATTCTCAGACTAATCCGATAATTCCTTTTGAGCTGCTCTGTAGGTAAGGCCAGAATTGTTTAGAAATCCTCTTCAGTGTTTCCTAAGCACTCAAATACTTGGTCAAAATGACATTGAAAGTCTCCCAGAACTTGCCAGATGTTCTTTTGGCATAATTCTGATTAAAGTTCTTAAATATTATACAATTGAATCTCCATAGAAACATTGGACACAATTCCATTGAAATTATTCTCACGATTCGCATCAGCATACTCCTCAAGTTTCATCTGAAGAATTTCCTTTGATTTCTCTTCCGAATTCTATTTAAATTCTTCACAAAATCTCCATGCAATTGTAATCAGAGTTGCTGACACTGTTTTCAACCAGAGGTTGCACATACTGAAAAACTTAACACTAGAAAACTGACAACACACCACACCCAGTAGACCAGTAGGGAAATTTTCAGGTTGTGAAAAGTTCCAATGGCTGGAGCGGGAATCGAACCCTCACTTCGTGGCACTCACAATACGCCTGAACAACGGGTTACACCGCACGACCACGAAGCTTACAAAGACGGATGGAACTCTACTCAGAATTCGCCCCACACTTCACTGTAAACTATTTCCAGAATTATCTTAAAATTCTGAAATTCTAGAGCAATTTAGAATTCTAAAGAAATTCAGACTGCTGTAACTCAATATTTACGGGTACTTAAAAAAATGCTAAAAATTATCAGATGCCTTTAAAATTTTGCTCAAAAATCTCACAAACATACTTCAAAGTTGGTGGTTGTCTAGATTCAAAAGCCATGCTAATTTTTCAAGACTCAATTTATTGTTTTTGATCCTGAAAAGTTTTCGATTTTTCTAAATTAAAACCATATGCATATTCTTCTATATTGAAATTTTGATTTTTTTTTATATGCAGAAAAATCTAAATAAAAACTTTTATTAAACAAACATTAAGGCCCAATATTTTTAAAAGTTTGATTATTTATTTCAGCAAATATTCTTTAGGAAATGTCTCCATTTTTATGATTCTGCAACCCATTAACATGCAAACATGGTGTAACAATTCCATGTACGATGTTACAATAATTTCCAACGTTGATGGCGTTTAATAATTAAAGTAGCTTGGCTTTTTATTTTTTGATTAGAGTGACAATCAATTGCAATGATATTTTTAAAGCAACATGTTTCAAAAATCTGGGAAAATCTGGATCATATTTTAAAAATCTGGAAATATACGTGATCCGTCTGTGTATCTGGCCAGATGACAGAAATTCTGGAAAATCCAGATAAATCAGGAATACTGGCAACGCTGCTTACCACCACAATGATTCCGTAGCACATCGTATTCTTATAAAGAGAAAGCTTACTCTTCACAGATGACAGACACGAAGTTACTGCTACCAGCAGTGATGGAAGTTTCGGTTCGTGTTCGGGTGTACATCAAAAATCTTGAAGCTCAAACTCACCACAGTTTGGTGAGAATTGTAGCTGGTGAGTTTTGTTAGCATGATATCAGAGCAACCGTATCACAGCTTCTAATATCATCCGATATTGTCTGCTTGTTGATTTTTGTTTACGATACTCAAATGAGATTATTCTCATTGGTGAGATTTGATCTTATGATATTTTCCCAACACTGGTACTCACCCAGTTCGTTGTACTCCAGGCCAAATTTATCGAAAAAAGCTTTATTGTTAAGCAAACTTCGTTTCATCATAAAATTCGAATTCTATCTTGTTGGAACTGGAATAGGAGGATACTTTCCACCAGAAACATCGAAAAAGTTTTTGTAATTGGCGTTACGAAAAGATTTCAAGATGGCGTCAGACATTGATTTCCGGTTTCTATACGTCATCTTGATTCCAAAAATACTCATATTGAAGGATATTTGCTAGTATTCCTCAGTTTTCCTACAACCTGAAGCGGCCATATTTTATTTCAAAATGGCGTCAGACATTGATTTCCGGTCTTTTTACGTCATTTCGATTCCAAAAATACCCATATTGAAGGGTAATAAACAGTATTTCTCAGTTTATCTGCAACCGGAAGCCGCCATATTGGATTTCAAGAAGGTATCGTTTATCGATTTCCAGGCTATAAGCGTCACCCGGAATCCAAAAATACCCATATCCAAGGGTATTTGTCAGACTTCAAAATGATTTCCAGTTCCTTCGCTACCAATAGTGTCTATCAAAATATTTGACAATTGAATTAACAACTGTCGCTTGGTACAAATATTTTACTCACCTTTTCGGGAGCACTGCTGTTTAATTCTTGCCTATGTTCTGAACCAAGAACGGTATACCCGGTTTTGGTGGCATATAATTGAACCATGCACACGGTTCAGATCTCGTGAACCAAAACCAAAATTCTAGCACACCGGTTTTCGGTTTTCAAGCTGCGGTTCTGAACATTAACTCGAAAACCGGCAGCCGGTTTTGATTTAGAACACACTGCACACTGGGCCAGGTACCGAAATTAGCAAGACAAAACCTCTAGCGCATTGGGTTTGCATTATATTGAAAAGGTGTCTTTGGCAAAGTTTCTCGGCTTAACATGCGCCTTCATCTGGCAATGGAAATTAGTTCCAATTTTCTCCACGTAGATGGTGCTGCGATACTAACTTTCTTATTTCACATGCTAGAGGTTTTATATCTTCGGCAAAGTTGTAGAACATTAAAACAATATAAAAATATGCCGAAGGACTCAAAGTTCTAGGTCTTCAAACAACAAAGATATAGTGAATATTGTTAAATTTAACTGAAATTTAAGTTTTTTGTACAAACGACAAATGCATCATTTTTAAAGCCATGTATCGTGTTTTTTGCAAGGAAGAGTTTCCAATATTTTGGGTCGATACAAGCGAAATATTAGTCAAAATAGTGAAAATTACCATGATTTTCATAATCAGGTTTCTCGAAAAGTAGCAAGTTTTAGCAAAAAGTAATTTAATTTCTGAAATGTACCATTTATCATCAATCAAAGCTGAAAGTTTGCCGAACATATAAGGGAAATTCCTTCTGAATAGCTTCATTCGTCGGGCATAAACGATCGTCATTGGTAATGGTTTGTTGAGATGTGAAGGCTCGGTGGACTAGTGGTGACCATTTTTGCATGCCCTCTAGATTACAGATAGGGTTGCATTAATTTCTTGTTTGGCTTTAAATGATCGCAATTGTGTGCATTTCGTAAAACATTATATCAACAATATCCTGAATCAACAAAACCCTCAGCAATTTAGATTTTCTTAGCAATTTAGATTTTACCTCTCAGAAAATTCAATTTTGCACGAAACTTCGTGTTCGCTTTAGACAATTTTAAAACTAAATTTTAAATTTTTACTATAACTCGGCCATTTTGACCTGCCTAATTTTTCAAAATGGAGTATTAGATATTTTTCAATAAATTATGGCAAACGGCTCATCTACTCAAAATGACGTCCGAGCCAAACTTGCAGGAAACTAGTTTGCTTTTTCAAGAAATAATACACACTAAAAAATCACATTCTCGTAGAAAAAAAAACTACTAAAAACTTCAATAAAAAAAAGTACATTTTTCAAATTTCATAACTTATGTTTAGCTTTCAAAGCTTATCAAAAACTATCACCAAAACTGGCCAAAATCTTCGCACATCAACTTTTAGTACAAATTATGAACATTTTTTTTCCACAAATAACTTTTATTGTTTTCATGTAGAAAACATATTTCTAGTCAAGAAAATCGGTTTTCAATAAACAAATCACATAAGTATTGCGTTTGAAAACAAAATTCAAATGTTTGACTAAAAGAGAATGCTCAACGATTTTTATCAATTTTGAAGTTTTCATGGTGTCCCCGGGATTCCTGCCCAAACCCGCAGCTGTGGCTGCATACGTCGCTGTAAACATTGAAATTGATCATCAAATTTATCCGCATTTTTGCTCAGGTTGCTAAGCCTATTGGTCCACAGCCCATCAGCCCCGTAAGATCGCAACAACAGCAACCCCTCCTAGGGGCTTGGGGTTTCAATTTTGCATAAATTTTCCGCTCCACAGCGCTCCGAAAGATCGTGCAGATCTCACCACAAATCAAAAACCGATCGCATGCAGCTTCCGTGCCGTCAACCGCCGCCGACCCCCGTGTGATCGAGCAGGGTCAATCCCCAAGTCCCCAACAGAGAATCCACCCGAGAGCAGCGAGAGATTTGCTCTCCGGAAAGTTTAAAGCCCCATTCAGAACAGCGTCGCGTCGTCGTCGTCACCGTCGTGCGCCGGCCGTCGCCTAATGAGGATGTTAAACAAGAGACCTACAAACAGCACCCGCGAGAGAGAAGGGAAAAAAAAGCTTAACGAGAGGAGATCAGATCCCGCGTGCAGTTCCCAAACAGAATCAGTCTATCGGTGACTGCGGTGTCGGATCGTTCGTGTCGTGCCGTCGTGAACCCTCGGTCTTTCCCTGTGTCCGTACACTAGTGGGTCAGTTGGTTAGTTGGGACAAGTCGCAGTCGCAGGACCAGTTCTGGTGAGGGCCATTAAGATTGATGCTTATCGATCGAAATTAGATTTGGGTGATGTTTGGGACCACCTTCCTCGGCTGCGTCGGTTTGTTCTCCCCTGTGCTCTGTTTGTAGCCAGGATCCTTCCCGGATCGATTCCCGTTTCCGAGTTGGTATCTTTGAAAAAGTGCGCGCCCGCGTGTGTATGTAGATTAGATAGGTGCACTGATTCCTGTCCATCGTCGTCGTCGTCGTCGTCGTCGCCGTCGTCGCCTGCTTGGGTGAAGTGCGCGTCGATTGTAGGCCACATTAGATCTTTTTTTTTTAATCGCTTTGGTGATCCGTCGGAGATCGATCCAAGCAACCACGGCACGACGGCACAGCGGTTACTACCAGAGAGATCGATCAATCAGTGATCAGTGTTTGTGGAGACTTGTTTTGAGTTTGTGTGTGATCGTAATAATCAATTTACATTTATGAAATAGGTATCAACCAGTTTGCCCAGCTCCTATGATTGATTTTGATCGAATGGCCGCTGCCGCCGCCGCCGCCACCGCCGCTAGAGAGTTTCTCGGAGGGGTCGGTCAGGTCCCTCGGTTGACCAACTTTTGGGCTGTTTGAAAGTGCCCAAGCCTTGAGAGTTTCAAATTTACTTTCCTCGTGCGTTCGTGCGATCGTGTGAAGTGGAAGAAGAAGTACTGCGGGGCAGCTGCATAGCCTGCCTCGATTAAGCGCAACATCACGATCTTTTCGAAAAAACAGCCTGTGTGTGTGAGTGAGTGAGTGAAAACAATCGAGAAACCCAGGGTTCAACCAGAAGAAAACAAATCAGTCGACAAGGCATATAATATTCTAATATCTTAATCTGCCACACATCCCATCGGAAGTCATCGCCATCGGATCAGCGGTAAGTGTTGAATCGTCTGTTGTCAAACAGCACACCTATTTCATCTTTGAACCCCCGCGCACCCGCATACCCGAAGGGGAATTCCTCCATTTATTCTCGTTTGCGCACCCTGCCCTATGTGACGAGGCGACGGCTTGTTTACAAACCAATTGAGATATAGCTGGGGCCTACGTCGAGGAACGTACGATCGCTACACATACCTTTGTGCAAGCTCGTTTGCCTGCCAGCTCTCCACCGCCGCCGCAGGTCGTCTCGGTAAGCTTCGAAATCACCATACCAACCACCAGTGAACCAGAAAACTGAATAAACTGCCTTTGCCTACTGCGACTGCTGCGACGGTTTGTTGGTATGTTTTGTTTGTTGACGCGTTTGTTTTGAACTCCTAAATCACCTACCTCCCTACCCCCCCTGTCCCATTATTTGAACCGTTCCGCGACCCTTCGGAGACTAGTCTTCGACTCTTTTCTAATGGTTTTACATATCTTAACTATACCCGGTTTTGGTGCCAGCTTTGAGATAGCTCGTTGGTATGCGCCGTTCGATTTACTCCGGCACTTATGGCTACAAACACGATAGACTTCGGTACTCATATGGCGCTGCCGGGTGTCGGAGGGCATTTTGGATGCTTTTCTTTTGTTGTTGACGCTTAAGGTGGAGTTGGATGTTTGAATCTTTTCCACCTTTTAGTGTCACGGATGTAGTTACTTAAACTAGTGAAGCAGGTCTAACCAGAGCAGACTGTTTATAACTAATGATTGTTGGTCTGACTACTGATTCAATTGTAATTACTACGCATCTTGTTATTATGACACCTGCTAAGTATTACTCCTTAGTATTATAAAATTTTATAATTAATAACTTTATTTATTTATTTATTTATTCGTTAATCCAAAACGTAGAATAGGGTAGGGTAGAGAACTACTTCGGCCTAAGCGCCCATTTTGGGCCTATCAAGCAGAAAACATCAAATAAATCCACGATAATCCAGGAAAATAATGCGTTTGGTACGATACTTTAGTTCAAATGCTACCGAACGAAGTCAATAAAAACGCGTGATATGAAGGTTTGCACCCATAATTCCCAAAACCAAAAGAAGCGCTCCGACCGAATCAATTTTTATCTTCATCCGATTGGCCGAAGTGAATTCATTGACGTTTCAATGCGTTAGGCCGAGTTTACAATCCGTAGGCCGAGTTTGGCGTCAAGAAGCAGTGTTAGACTTTTAACAATATCTCAACAATTTGTTTCTCTCTATCAAATCTTACGGTACGTACGGAATTATAAATAAATTTGGAAGCCGTCAGTAATAATAACAAACTACGCAAGATTAAGAAAGACTAAGTGCGGGTTGTGCTTAATAGGCCTGAAATGTGGTAGGTAACCCTACATGTCCCTAACGTCGGTCTAATATGAACTCTTAAGTTACATTTTATGCTATATCTTATTAAATGATTGAGCTGCAAAAATATCCCTATTATTTAGGTATTAATTAGGCACGACGGAAAATTGTAAAATTCACCATTTGAACATGAAAACTCTCCAGGTACGTGGATGTAATGTCGGTCTACTGTACACGGAGAAAAATACTACCCAAAATTTGAGTTCTTTTTACTTAATATTGACTTTAGTCGCTCACTTGCACTTGGATCACGAAATCCATCAGCAAGCTTAAACATTTTTTGGTTGCCGCTTCCTGCTGAATGATATTGTGTTGCATTTGGCTATGCATAAATCGAGTAGGTTTCGCTTGCTCCAGTCCTCGAACAAATCTAATAACCTCTGCAACTCCAGGCAATCCTCAGTGCACGTGATGATCATAAAGATCTTAACATCGTCGGCATAGAATATTCGCTGTCTACGTGGCAACACAAAGGCAATGTCATTTATGAATAATGAGAAAAGCAGCGGTCCAAGATTACTCCCTTCCGGTACACCAGAAGGAATCATAAACGGCTCCAAATGTGACGAACCAATCCTTGCTCTCACGGATCTTTCAGACAGATATGATCTAAAACAGCTAACAAGCGCGGAAGATACCCCCAGCTTCTCGAGTTTTTTGCAACAGGATATCATGATTCACACGATCGAATGCAGCCTTGAAGTCCGTGTATACGGCGTCCACTTGTGAACCAGCGTCCATAGAGCGTATGCAGAGTGAGGTGAACTGAGTGAGGTTAGTAGTAACAGATCGTTTCGGGTAGAATCCATGCTGGGCACATGAAATGTAGTTTTTGGTGGCTTCAAAGAGAGCGTTGTTTACAATTATTTCAAAAACCTTAGAGCAAGCGCTCAAGAACGTTATTCCACGGTAGTTGACGACGTTACATTTGTCACCCTTTTTGTGAATCGGTGACAGAAACGAAGTTTTCCATCCAGCAGGAAATTTTTGCTGTTGGAACGAGAGATTGAACAGTTTTACTAACGGTGTCATCAGAGAACTCGAGCAGTTTTTCAACACAGATGAAGGAATCCCATCAGGACCGGGTGACACGGAATGTTTGAGCTTACGTAATGCATTTTCGACATGCTCCTCGCTGATCTGGAAAATTCCAAAGTCGATGCTGTCTAGCGGCGTATCACGAACAGCAGCCTCTATCTGCGATGGCGTAGCAGGCGTATTTGAGAAGACATTCTTGAAGTGTTCAGCAAAGATCTCACATTTACTAGAGGCTGTGCTAGCAAATTGGTCGCCGAAATACATGGACGTTGGCAATCCATCTTCCTTGCGTTTAGTACGAACAAAAGACCAGAACTGTTTGGGATGTAGACGTAAATTTCTCTGCGTACGATCAACGTATCGAGCATACAATAGACGGTTATACCGTGTGTACTTGTTACTGGCCATTACATAGCGACGTTGGAGTGCTGCGAACGACTCCGACTATACGTTCGAAGTGCAGATCGCCTAAGGCGCTTCAACTGGCGGAGGCTCCTGTTCGTCCAATGAGGCTTCAGTGGAGGGCGCTGAAGAGGCACGTGAGCTTCGATGACTTGACGTTTCTCCGTGTTGAAAATACATACAATATCGTCCAGATCCTGATCAGAATCCAAAAATTGCCAATCGATTGATAATAGCGCATCATTCATCGAACTATAATCAGCCCGACGAAAATCGAACCGGCAGTCATCTAGAGATGGTTCAAATGACACTGGTACCGAAATAAAAACGGTGACGTCAATAGCAGGATGTGGAGTATCGATTTCTACGAGTGATTCAGCCGCTTCGGATACGCAACAGCTTGATAACGCTGAGTCATTCACGAGTACTAAATCGAGAATTCGTGAACTGGAGTTCTTCACAGTATTGATTTGTGTCAGACCCTGGAAGCAGAAGGCATCGTACAATGCACAACTAGCATTCGTTAATCTCGATGTATGGGAATCTATTGTGAGGCCACCATCCTCTGATGGTACCCAGTGCATTTCAGGATGATTATAGTCTCCAAACTGGAAAGCAAGGTCATGAGGCCTCAAGCCGGAAAGGATTGAATCAATGGAGTCAGTATGCTGCTGTATGAGCGACAGGTCGTCTCTGCAATCAGGTGGTAGATAAAGCACTCCAATGCTGACATCATAGTTCTGCAGTTTGATTTTGATCCAAAGCTGCTCGAGAGCATTACTTATCGGAGCTGGATCAATACAGCAACACAATTTAGAAGAGACGGCTATCAATACACCTCCACCACGAGTTTTTCGACTGTTCAAAGAGTTACGATCTGTCCTGAACACAGTGTAAGAGTCGTTGAATAATTGAGTAGACAAGATGCAATCGTTCAGCCAAGTCTCAGTTAGCACGATAACATCATATTCCGAGTCAGTTGTAGCTAAGAAGAAAGAATCTATCTTTGTCCGAAGTCCTAGTGCATTTTGATAGTAAATGCGTAGCTCGGAAGTTGTTGAGGAAGGATTGTAACAAACTTCTCGTCCGTTCCTCGGCAGAATGCAATGAATTTGAGTGGGTGTTGCGCTGAAATCCAAATGTTGATCACGAGGAGAATCACCGAGAAAGCACGCATACTTGCCTGAAAAGCCAGGATGGGAGACCCTCGCCCTATCTCCGACCACAGGGCCGGAACGACTTGGACGGCAGGATACCACAGATGACTGTCAGGAAACGGCGATTGGCTCGACTGGGTCAGAGTGAACGAGGGCTCCCAAGATACCATGATGCATGCGTTCCGGATGAATGATCGTCGTAGTACTCGAATAGACATTTTCCTCATTGCTGCATGAAGGGTATTGGGTATGAATCGAAGCGCTGGAACACGGAAACTGATCAGGAAGGGAGTTTTCATGAACACGTGTATACTTGCCTGCACAAGAAGGTTGGGAGACCCCGTCACCGATCTCAACAACAGGGCCAGAACGACTACGATGGCAGGAATCAGCAAACGCGACTGTGTTGAGTGGCTTAAGGGCTCCCATGATACGACAGGCAATGCGTTCTGGTTTGATGAATCTGGCGATGGTGCCCATATGCGACGTCGGAGATCCATGAGAACGATGTGCACCATCCTCTGACGACAGCAGTTGGTGAAGGTGTTGGCATTCATAACGGGAGTCAGGAGCATAAAATACAGTGCTAGAACATGAAGAATTATGAGGCGGTGAAGTGTTACACAGGGGCGCATACTTGCCTGCAGAAGGATGTTGAAAACCCCCATTGCCAGCCACGACCACAGGACCAGAATGGCAGTGATGGCAGGAAACAGGAAGCAGGACTGGGTCGGGAGGATTAGGGGCTTCCATAGGGTGACAGGCAGTGCGTTCTGGTTTAGATGTCCTCAAATTCGTATCCAATTCGCATCCGGTGGTTTCAGCTCGTGGGGTTGATCCGAACCTTGACTTCTTATTCTTATCCTGGTAACGTTTTTTGTCCGGTCGTCACTGAACTCACGGAAATTTACGTTCTCAGGCCAAGAGTCAGCAGCTAGTGCCAGATCTCGATGCATTTTATCAATGCCGATCTTAAATGTCACGAATCGAAGATTCGAGATATC